TTTTTCTCTTCATTTCTTATATTTTCTGGGTTGCCAACAACCTGTAGTTATATTGCTGTTGTCTTGTTGATCTGAATTGGAAAAGGAAAACTTTTAGATGGTTCATGTTAAAAGCTCACATTTTGATACGAAGTTTATGGTTTTCTTTGTTGCCCATGTATTTACTTGTGCAGAAGTGCTTGGACTCTATAGCTTGTTGGGTCTCTTTTTTCTGAATTCAGTATCAGTGAATGCATTTGATGGTTTTGCAGGTTCATGATCCACAGGGAAATAATGAAGAAACTTCCTTGGTTCAACAGTCTAGACGGCCAAACCTCTCCTCATTGCAAATACCAGCAAGGACACTGGAAAGTAGTTTGTCTGCTTTTACGAGGATTGATATTCCTTCCGTACCAAGTCCTAGTTCTACTAGAGCTGGACTGCCCCCTAGACCAAATTCAGCTAAGATCAAATCATCCATGAAAAATTTGTTTCCTCAAAAAAGCTTTAGGGCGAAAAATTTGCCCCTGGATGGTGAGAAGACCATTCTCATTATACCAGATACACCTTCATCAGATGGTCATTTGGCAAAGCCTTCTACTTCAAGGTCTTTCTCGCTTAATAAGGTTTTCTTCTCTCCATCTATGAAAGCAACACATTCTTTACCAGTTACACCAAGTGCAAATGTGGGTTCTGAGACTGTGCAGGGCAGACATCTGGAGAGTCATTCTGATATCTCTGTAAGTGATTCTATTTTATCTTTTCCGTATTCCAGTTCCAGTTTCAAAATTCTCAGTTTGAATAGCTTAATATCAAATTTCGAATAAAATTGTTTCAGACAATTGAAGTTAAGCAGCATATGTCCCGATCATTATCGGTTCCAGTAAATGTTAAAACCAGAAGTTTAAGGAGGATGGATTCCGGAGGCATGATGCGTGTAATTTCAGCAACTCCACGTCCTTCAATAGTTGAGGGTGCCTCACCGAATGCTGCCCCAGCATTGGAAACCAGTAAATGATACATCTTGTCATTAATAGAATTTCAAAATAATGATTAATTTATATTATAGCATATTTAGCATATTTACTCATCTACTACAAGACAAAACTTGTGAATTAAATGTATTAACCTGGACATAGAGCAATTCTTCACATCCATAGGTATCGTTCTTAGGTTTTCTACCTTGGTTGCATATAGATTTGCTTTCAGGAGAAAACCCTCATCTTCATTCATAATAGGATTCATATATTTGTATTCGTGTGTTGATTTATGTTAGTTCACTTGCAACTGGGAATGACGTTCATAGCTTTAAAATAATAAAAATTGAAATCTGAAATTTTAAACTTGTTCAGTTCAAGTACTGAGCCATTAACTCTAACTAAATGCTTATGGATCTGTTATTTTATCTTTCCCACTTTAATGCTCCTTCTATTTTGTATTATCTAACAAATATATGTGTAACTTGTGAATGATAACTCGCTAATTTCAGCTACTGAAGATTCTGGTGAAGACATTCCTGAAGAAGAAGCCGTTTGCAGGATTTGTTTGGTTGAGCTTTCGGAAGGTGGTGATACTCTTAAAATGGAGTGCAGCTGCAAAGGAGAGCTGGCACTTGCTCACAAAGATTGTGCAGTAAAGTGGTTTAGCATTAAAGGGAACAAGACCTGTGAAGTCTGCAAGCAGGATGTTCAAAACTTACCTGTAACACTACTCAAAATACACAATCCTCAAACAATTATTAGACGACCACCAACAGTAATGCAGCAGAGGGAAGTCCCTCGTTACAGGCAAGTCCCAATTATTACAATGTTGGTATTCGTCCCAGCATGACATTGTAGTTATGAATCATTGTAAAGAGCCTTGGGGCTCCATGTTTTCAATTTTTAGAAGAAATCCCTGTGATTTCAAGATTTTGAAGAACGTATGTAGCCTTTCCTCCTGAAGAATGTTTCCTATATGTTAGTAATTCTGGTTACTTGATGGCAAACTAAACTACCCTCAGTTAATGCCCCATTTATTGTCTATAGGCGCTTATCTGGTTGCCATCTTTGCAGAAAATCCGATCATAAACATGTTAAGATTTTCTTGATTTGCCAATATAATCTAAGCCCCCTTTCTTTTATTTTTTATGTTGTTCATAGTCACTTTTAATATGAATTGCATTTCCAATAAAATGGACTTTTGTTGAGGTGGGGGAGATGCATGTATACATGTTTCCTACTGCTGCATCTGTTAAGCACATAGAAAATTATGAAAATGTATTTGTTTCCGTCAATAATTCAGAGAACTTTCTAGAAATTTTTGGTATCATGCCCCTTTATTGAGATATTATTGTTTAAGTCTGATTTTGGATTTTGCCTTGTTGCATGCTTGACAGGGTCTGGCAGGACATACCAGTTCTTGTCCTGGTCAGCATGCTTGCATATTTCTGCTTTCTGGAGCAACTTCTGGTATGTTTATAAACTAAAGCTTTTCACTTTATGGCATTATATTTTGGGTAGTAAGCTCAGCCTTGTTGGCAAAGATAAACTTCGACTAGATTCTATAATTCATGTTGTCCCATATTTCACATTATCCTTGATATGATCTTGAAAATTTCATAAGTGACAAGAAATCACAGATATTCAGATAAGGTTGTAGGCCTAAAGCGGTATCTGTTTAGATTGCAGCACACCAATGGTTTTTGAACATTTTCATAACCTCAAGAGTTTACCATTTGTAGTCTCTACATATACACTTGTTATTTAAACATTTGTATGAACATTTTGTTATTGTTTGACATTGTAATCAATTTATCAGTGGTGTTGTCTTTTTTTTTTTGTTTTTTTAAATCTGAACAGGTATCTGACTTGGGTCCTCGTGCTCTTGCCATTTCTTTACCCTTCTCCTGTGTTTTAGGTCTCCTTTCATCCATGATTGCTTCAACAATGGGTGAGTTTATTATTCCTTTCACTACCAAGTTATTTATTATTATTTTTTTTTTTTTTAATAAATCCTCGTTTAATAATTGACAATGCTATACAGGGAAATTATTTTCCCCAACACATCTGTGAAGTTATTTTTTTCTTTTTAATCTCTTCTTGCTCTTCTCATTGGATGTTAGAAGCTTTGACATATTTAATTCCATTTAGGGAATATTTAAGAGTTGAGTTGCGGCCATTATGTTTTCTTCTCTCTCTCTCTCTCTCTCTCTCTCTCTCTCTCTCGCTTCCATTTTTTCTTCAAATTAGGACAACATTCTTTTTTCTTCTTCCATGAATTATACTTGAAATACCTGATTTTGCATGATGGTGGCAGTGAGCAGGAGCTACATATGGGCTTATGCCTCCTTCCAGTTTGCCATCGTGATCCTGTTTGCTCACATATTTTATACTCTAGTAAGCAGAACTGGTTTCTTTCACGAATCCCTGCACCTGTTCCTTTCTGGTTTCTTTTCCTGTGTTCTTGTTTTTAGGGAGGAGTACTTTGGTCTCTGATGCAGCTTCTCATGTTCATTAAACATGCAGCTTAATGTAAATCCGATTCTCTCAGTCCTCCTTTCTTCATTCACTGGCTTTGGGATTGCAATCAGCACAAATTCTCTTCTGGTGGAGTATCTTAGATGGAAATCCAGCAGACAACTGCAATCTTCCCATCAACATGCTAGCAGTGCACTGCATCTGCATGAACTACAGCTGCAGCAGCAAGAGCAATATCAACGCCATTACCAGCAACAACGACGGCAACGTTTGATGGATGATTCGCAGAATCAGTATCAGCAACGACAACAGCAGTTGCAGCAGCAAGAACAAGAACAAGATCATTATCAACACCAACAGGAGCAACAACTGGAGGAAGATCCGAACATGGATGGTCCCAGGCAGCTAGAAATTAGACATGGCACGTAGTTCAAAAAGACTCAGCAATTTTGGTTTCTTTGATAGGTACACTCAAGCTCAGTAGATTGAAGATCTTTCCTTTTGTCCAATGCATGTTAAGATTTAATCATATTATATAGAAGGGTAACTTAAAGGTTTAAATCCATCTGAGCTTCAGGGAACGTAGACTTTGCATGATCTCTGCGAGGTTCTCTTCGGATTCAACAGCCTCAGTCAAATGAGTTTAGATAAAAACTCCCAATTCAGATTGTTTAAGTCTGTCATGAATGCACATGTTTCTTCAACAAATAATTTTTTTCTCATTACAATCATCTTAACTTTGGTGCGTGCACGTACTTATTATGTACACCAAAGAATATTATAGTCACCAAATTTGAAATACTTGATATGTGATTTTGGTAAACCAAACAATAAAAGTTGGAACTTGTAAGTATTTGACTTTAAATAATTGTTTTCTTTTGTTTTTATTTCTTGCAGATTAAATGGGTTGTACGGGCAAGAGTTCAATCAGGAATCAGACGCGGCGAGTGCCCGAACAAGAGAGGCATGTTGTAGGGATACTCTGGATTCTAAGTAAGGCCGACTGGATGGTATGTTGTATTCACAAGCCTGAGCTCAACTCATATACGAACTTTAGCGTAAGCAAAAAGGTGTCAAGCATGATGATGTTTTGCTCGTCAATGAGGAGAGTGAAATGCCCCCATCAGAACTTGACATTATCATGAGAAATTTCATAACTTTTTGTAACCGATTGAAAAAAGAAAATTTCAGAATCAAAAAAGGAAAAGAAAAAGTCTAATTATTTGTTGTGTATTTCTTGTAATTAACAAAGTTTATCTTCTCATCTTGCCTCTGTGTTATGTAAGAAAGCTTTCTGCTTGATGAGCATGTATCTTGTGTATGCGGGTTTATATGGTTCCTGATGATATTTTTGAGAATCCACAAACCCAACCCAAAGGCTTACCATAGAACCTTGTAATGAAACTCATCAGATCCATAATTTCTTAGCACAATTCAATTGGAGATATTCATTTCCTACAGGCGGCCAGATTTAGATAATTAAAGTTATTATTATTTTTTTTTTAAAGGAGAAAAAAGAAAAAGAAATTGATAGCAAGAGCTTAGAACTGCTCATAACTTATCTCACCAAAATTTGAACAGTGCCTAGATTAAAACTAAGCAAAATCAAGTAGTCTGTAAAGAATCCTGCGTATACCAAGTAGGCTACAACAATTTTGAGCTCCCCCCCAGCAGCGCAACGCGATTTAAAACCATAAAAATAACATGATATAAAAAAGATGCCAATGCAATTTCATGTATTGGTCATCGATGGGGAGCAACCTAGAATGTGAGTTACATGAGCAATGGACATTTCAGCTCTTGCATCTTCATTTTACATCCACGGTCACTTGCTAATCGGGAAACATCATGACCTTACTAACGTCAAGAGTTCATTAGGAGATGTGCTTGAGTAAATAATAATTGCAGACTCCCGAAGCTTACCGGAGTACACTTCTAGCATTTGGTTTGGTCACTGCTTCAAGAAACCTGTACATCCATCGATCTAGCATTCCTGATGCAAGACAAAAGTAATAACACATAACCAAACAGAATGGGTAATTAATGAAAAAGATATGGTAAAAATGACAGCTTGGCAGGTTCAACTTTGATGGTCTAGACTCTAGTAGTCTAGAACATCAACCAGTCGGAACTTCAATAAGCAGAAATGGAAGTGTCAAATCCCCATATATGGGATCTGTCAACCTGAGTGAAACTCCTTATTTCCACCCTGCATCAAATAATTAAACCCAAAAAAAAGAAGGAATGGGCCTACTCAGACAAAAAGATCCAGAAAGTTAACATCATTTGGCAGAACAAGATAAGAGGGCAGAATTGCTTCTGCACTCAAATCCTCGTATTAGAATGGGCCTTCTGTTCTGGTTCTGATAATGCTGACTCAGAAGAAACGATAAAAGAATGAGTGAAAATACAAACCTGTCAAAGCAAAGGTACCGCCCAATACAGCACAAAGCCGAGTGATGAAATGGAGAAAACTGCGGCGTTCTTCTTTGATAGTTACAGTGATTGGCGACAGATCATACAAGAAGTATACAGCTGGATATAAACAAACAGGGCCGATAATTAACACCAAGAAACCAATGAAAGGACTAACAAATAATTTCTCATAAACCAACCTGGCCATGTCCTATCAAACTGCTTCATAGGAGAAAAATATTCTGTGACAGAGAATTGATTGGTTGGCAAAACTTCTTTTGAGATATACCTATATTCCGTTGGAACAACCTGCATTGCAACAAAAAGAAAAAATTTCAAAATAGGTCATCAAGGTCAATGAATTGTTCATGAAAGCCTACATAAAGAATAGATGATTAAAAAAATTATACCTAACAAAAAAGTTAGGGCTGCTGATGTCTCATGCAAATTGTGCAATTGGTCATGTTTGGAACATTAACATATAATTTGAAACAAATTCTTTTTGTTTTTCTTTTCTGAGGAATCAAATGTGTTAATTTGTTTTTCAAAACATTAGTTTGAAGACAGATACTTAAGATTCCTGAACATGGCCACTGACCAACGAAGCAAAAATCCATTATACTTTGAGAAAAAGGTAACAAATACCATTACTCAAGGTCCCTGGATGTAGTTAAAAAGTTTGAGCTTTAGCAAACCACTTAACAAAAGAAATAATACAAGTCCTTTATTGGATGTATAAGATCCTTGGCTAGGAGTGCGACTTGTTGGATGGAAGTATCTTACTACCAGGGGACCTTTTCTTTAATTCTCTCCGATATGAGTTAAAATATGGGACAACTACTTGATCTTCCACAATTAACAGAATGAACAAACCTTGAATTAAAGGCTTAGACTCTAGTAGGCAATCCTGCACAGATATATGCATAAAATGGGCCATTCTATATTGCAGATTCATGAGATTTAAATCTACCACAAAGCTGTATATTAAATCCAAAGAAAGCCCACGTATTCGAACCTTTATATAATATTTGAAAGTGCCACTTGTGTCATGCAAAATACGCTCCGTCCCATCCAGTGGGTTGTGAATCCCTGGATATTTTGGGCCAAATGACAAGTCATGAATGATGTGGCTTACATTTACATTTTTAGATCCTTCAAAAATCTGCAGAGAAACAGTAAGACATGGAACAATAAGATAGGAGCTATAGTTAACTAGAGCCAAGCAGCTTTTAAATCAAGTTATGCAGAAAAATGGCAGTTGACACAAGACTGATCCAAACAGCATCCCTTGATATGAGAAGTGGGAGGGATTGGTTTACTCACACAACTTCAAACTCCATATCATTCCCAACACAAAAGATTGACCAAAAATTTAAGATACAAATTTTTTTTTTTAATCTAAAAGGATCGAAACAAGAATTTATCAAATCAAAATGCACCAATCTAATGATTTATTCCAAACGCCAATTTTTATCTAAAAGGATCAAAACAAGAATTTATCAAATCAAAATGCACCAATACCAAATATTAAAATTTTAATTCAGACTCATAATTTAGGTCCTCCATAAGTACTTTAGATCAGGCACTGTACTTTGCACGTTCTAGATCACATGAAATTTGTTCACCACAAAATGGACAGACATTGGAAAAAGAAGGGAGCAAACATTCAAGGAAAACTAACCATTTGTGCAACGAAAATGTTTAATCCATGAACTGAAATGTGAAAGTTTCCAGCAACCCTTTGGACATCTAAAACACCAAAAACCTGCAGCAAATTTTACATAAAATATATATAAAAATCATTTCAACATAAATCTGAAAGAGCAAATAGGGTTCATTAACATAACAAATAGACATATCTGTAATTAAATACCCGGCATCCTTCTCCATTTGCTATTCCATGCTTTACCCTCTTGATGAGATCTTCTGCAGCTTGATCAAAAGCTCCTTGTAAATGAATTTCCTGGTCCTTGTCCTCATGATGATCTTTACTGTCATCTGGTGAAGGTTCTTTATCAGATGTTGGACAATTTAATGAATATAGAGGAAAAAAAAATCATAGTTCTAAAACTAATGCTATGGCAACACTCAATCAAACAGAAATCACTTTAGTTTGTGAAGAAGGTAAGACATAAAGGAATGAGGCTAGAAAGATAAGAGGCAAACATAAAAATACCCAAAAATAAAATAGAGAACAAAACAAAGAATGCCAAGAAAATCCATCATCCACTCCATTCAACATATAGTTTCTCTTGAGCTTTTAGTCCTTTGTTTTCAGACTTTATTAATTGTTCAATTGTCCTGCCATGCAAGCAATAGCCCATTGGTTACATTATATGCTTTGCAAAGGGGCTTAGAACCTTAATGGGCCCTTGGAGAGTGTGTTTACTTTATCACTTAGGTGTCTCCAAAGGGAACATTGACTACATGATTCACGTTCATTAAAGGAAATATCTATTAAGGAAAAAATACACAGAGCCTGTAAAAAATGTTATGTCCATCGTGGGAGCCAAAAACTTCCATTGATCCAAGCAACAATGAGAGTAAAATTGATCAGGTGCAGAAGACAAAGTGAGATTGTAGAAAAAACTTCTTGCAAAAAAATAGAATCTGAAAAGCATGGCAACACATCCAAAACAAATGTGGTAGTAATGCAATAAGGATATTACCATGCTTGTGAGAATGTTCCTTTTCCACAAGGTCAGACAAATATTCAGTGCCGATGATGTGGCCATAACTGTTCAGGCGAAGCTGCAGCCACTCTAAACTGGTTAGGAGAATAACTATGAGAGAGAGAGAGAGAGAGAGGGAGAGAGAGAGAGAGAGAGAGAGAGAGAGAGAGAGAGAGAGAGAGAGAGAGAGAGAGAGAGGAAGGAGACAGATCAAAAGTTTCCATTTTTAACAACTAAATTTCACTGAATACATGCATGGGAAAGCAGGTAGTCAAACAACTGGGAGATTACAACAAAATTTAATTAGATGTGCTACTTAAGCACATCTAACTGGATAACTGCCAGTGGATCAAAACAAGGATCAAAAGAAAAACAAAATTAGTCATTGCTACCAACTTCTCAAAAAGCCTAAAACCCATGACGGCCCAGCAAAGAGCCAACAGAAAATGCTTGAAAAATACCTAAGTAGAGGGAGATTCAAAGAACCCCATATGAAGTGGTACAGATAAAAACAAATTATGTTCACTTGAATCAAAGTCTTATACTTGACTCAACAGATAAATTGAGACCTAGCACAAAATATGCATCATGCAACATGACATAAAGATGAAGACTAGTCTTCAACACCAAACCCTTTAATGTAGTACATTATTCACAGATTTTAACCGATAAAACACATTGCTACCACAGTACACAAATCTAGTTCTTATTGTTTGATATGTTATTATCCTATACATCTATTTAAGTAAAAGGAAAAAAAATAAAAATAAAGTCTCTTACTTTCCATATGTTTGTGTCAAGATCCACTTCATGCTTTCCTGACATATCAATCGCATCCACACTCAAAACTGCAATCAAAAGTTGAAAACCCAGCATTACAGAAACTACAAACATGAGATGAGAAGAAAATCTACAAAGAAACCAGCATTTACTTAAATACAAAGAGAAGGAAACATGCTAACCATCACAAGGTAAAGATGGAAATGTGATATTTATGTGAATTGGAAGAGTCTCTCCACGCTTCAAGTCTACGGACATCTGCCGAATGCATAAGCTTTTTAATTAGATAACTTATAATCTCAAAGGATCTATACAACATCTCCAAACTTATATCTCCCAGTTTGACTAAAGTTCTGGTGCATTATACATCAAAATGGCAGATAATAATACATGTGAGCTATTTCTTTTACATTCACAAATTTCTTTCATGCACCCTGAGCAGATAATAATTACCTGCGTATCCGATTTACAACATCAACAGAAAATAAAAAGAAAAGCTTTTGAAACTCTAACCTGATGGACGGTATATGTGGTAAGATAATATCTCAGCTCGTGCACAAACAATGTCGCCATTATAAGTAGACCAACAACAGAAACTACACAAGCAAAAGTAAACAAATATTGAATACAAACCATAATTAACAGATAACCAAACACACAAAAATAAATAAATAAATCAATCAAACAAAGATATTACCAACTGCCCCAGTTTGTGTTTTCTGCAACAAGTGCTCTTCGGCACGAGGAAATGCATCCAAGCTCTTCAAAGCTTGTTTCACGCCCATTTTTACCCCAATTCTCAAAGAGAATACCAGAGAAATTTACCCAGCCTGTACCAATTTCAAAATTTCAAAATTTTGAAGCATCAACAAACTACTCGGATTCATTCACGCAGATCAAATTCAAAATCAAGCTGCTTTTTATTATAGTTTTATAAAGAGTGAATTAAATCCAATTGTGATTGGAAATTACAGGACGAGTTTAATTTTGAATTCAATGAGAAAAAATTATGAATATAAGAAGATGCAGAGGTACCCGTACCAGTGGATTTTGAATGAATCGCCCAACAAAGAGAGATTTTTGCGTTTCGAAGACCAAACACCGAAGTCGGAATTGTAGCTGTTAGACTCTGGCAATTTTATATTTACGAGCCACGTTATGGTGTGCGCGCGTCCTCCTGGTGTTCTCCTGAGCCTACCTTTTAATTTTCTCTCTCCTTTTTTAAAATTTGCAAGTGTCCAATTCTCCATTTATCTCCGGATGATTTTCTAATTGTTTGCTTGCCCTCAATATTTTTTTTCCTTTTTTATTTTTCAGCCTTTGAGGCTGAGAAGTGACATTTGGTGGTTGTCAATTGATCCTCAAATTTGTTAATCAATTGCTATTTTTAAGTACATGGGTTTGTAACTCAATCGGTTGAAAACGTTTATCACTACACTTAAGATTTCATGAGTTATAATATGAGTGAACGACATGATTAATATTTCATGAATTTAGAGTATAGTATTAATAAATAACGATATACGTGGGATGGGCATGATGAAAACCTCTCTAGAATGCGTATAATATCATCAACTACCTCATTCATTATGTATGTATTAATAAATGAAGAAAAAATAAATCAAATTCAGTTTATTTAAAATATATATATATTACATTCAATATAATATTTATATGAAAAGATAAGTTTACAATTATCTAGTATGTAATTTGTAATTTGTGACATTCACAATTCAATCGATTTACGCTTAAATACATGAGCTTACTACTTACTTCTTCGTTCTTTTTCTTTCATATCCATTGACTTTTCGGTAATTAAAAAGAAAAAAACTAAATAATATAAACACGGCGAAGGTAAAATGCTGTCCGGTAGAGGAAAACTAAAGCTGTTATAGTGTTGGGTGACTGAGGATGGCGGCAAAGCTCATAGCAACGTCTCCTTTTGTAGGAATTGCAGTTTTTGTCTCGCTTATCGCTCTCGTCGCGTTTTATTATAAGCCTTTCTCACAACAGGTCAGAGGCTCAAAGCTTATTTCTTCTGTTATAAGTTTTATTTTCTTGACAGAATACCAGACACCCCCAACTGAAATTTTTCATGATTTTGGGTGCTAAAGCAAATCCAAGATTCGATTTTACGTGGGTTTTCTTCTTAGAATTTGTCTGTGAATATAATTCCAAGATGGGGGTTTTTTTTTATTTGTTTGCTTTGGTTCGCTTTTGAATGTTTAACATTATAGTGCAAGTATGTGAGGTGATTTTGTTCTTGTTTCTAGAGATTGTTCACTGTTGAAGAATTGGCCTTGTACAACGGGACTGATCAAAGCTTACCCATTTTATTAGGAATTCTCGGGTACCTTCTCACTTTCTCTCTATTTAGATGGATGTATTAAAACCCTACTTACATACAGTTCAAGCACCACAAAGTGTGTGGTTGACTTTTCAGAATATACATTAGAAATGAGAAGTAGTAATCTCATGATGAGTTGAATTTTGGAAATCAAGCGGAGCACTTTATATGATTCCTAAATGCCTGTGAGCATACATACTGATTTAAAGAAACTAATCCATATTTTCTGATCAGATCGGTTTTCGATGTGACAAAAGGAAAATCTCATTATGGTGAGGGTGGGGGTTACAATCATTTTTCAGGAAGGTTTGTTCTCTTCTCCAACCCTGTTGAATTTTCTTACTTAAATGTGGTACTAGGTATTGATGTTTTCTCGATTTTTCCGGGAAACACATGCTCAGATTACAAATTGTGCTCGTCTACTTTTTAATTTTCATTACATATAGCATTAGTCCGTGTTCTTTTGCTTATTAAAGTTCGTTTCTTCTAAATAAAAAAATCCTTTTATGCTTTGTATGATTGTATCTGTCTAGAGACTGGTATACTAATAGCTCTTTTGCCTTCACATACAACCCTTGCAATCAATAAAGAGATGCTTCACGAGCATTTGTTTCAGGAAACTTTACAGGTAAAGACAGTCTTCTTCTTCTTTTTGCTTTTAATTGTTGATGGATTTATTATGTAAGTTCAAAGTCTAATAACTTACAGAGTTGCCTTTGAATTGATTTTTTTGTAGGCTCATTTTTTATTTTTTTGGGGATTTAAAATAACGCTTGAAAAAAGTATTTATGTTATAATCATCACATAGCATCTTTCGTTGGTTATATTGCAGGTGATGGACTCACAGACTCGCTACGTGATTTATCCAGTACACAGGTAACTCGTGTTATTTGCTCTCCTTTTTACCCTGGAGTTTGTGAAGCCATGCTAGACAACAAAAAGGGGGAAAGACACTAAATTTTTTTAGAACTGCATCTACTAAACATCACCCATATTGAATGCTTTCCCCTGCTGGTTCTACCCTCTTAGTCCATGATTTGCAGAGTGTTTCAGGTAGCTCACTTGTGGTGACCTCATGCTGCCTCCTGCTCACCCTATGCCTTCTAATTCAATAATTTATGAAGTTAGTCAGGATTAGTTCACCTGCATTTGATGATTGCCTGATTCCATATTCCAGCCCAACTGACTTGTTCAGAATCATTGCTTCTAATGTGAAACCCTTACCTTGCATCATGCTTTGCTATAGTGTCCCTATGCTTTTGCCATTTTGTGACATATCCACTTGCTTCAACGTGGCATCTTCTTGTGTGACTTCTTCGCTTATCAATTTTTTGCATTATTTGCTCCTTTTTTCACACTTTTAAATAGAATAACAGTACTAATGGAAAAATAGGTAAATATTCAATCTAATCCCTACTACTTGGTTCAGCTGCATATTTGGGACTGTGACATCTGAAGTTTCATTGGTTGCTACAAGAGTGATTCAGTTTTTTTCTTCTTCTTTGTATTTGCAGGTGAAGAGTGTTGTTGAATGGAGGGATTTCTACTTTAGAAGTTACACGTGAGTTATGCATCTATCAGCTATCTTTTGTACTTTTGATGCTTGGAAGGTGGAATTTCAATGCTTTTAATAATGTTGGAAGTTTTTTCATGGTTACTGGAAACTTGGGCCAATTAGCCGATCTGTTTTCCACTTTTGAAACTGTTAGAAACTTGTTTGGGGTTTTAAAATTTTACATCTACTATGAAAATTTCAATTGAATAAAATAGGAAAATTACCATGAATCTTTCAAACTTTCATTGACGTCTGTAAGCAAATTTTGATGTAATCTGTCTCACTTACTGCATATAGGAATCATTGTCATATCTGCCTGTATATGCTTATGATTGTTCTGGTAATAAGGGGCAAAGATCGACCCCAAAAGGAATGAAATTAATTTCTTTTTTTGGTAATAGACACTTTTGTTTATGCCTTTCAGAATGTCCTTCTGCATTTTTTGGAATTCATTTATGTTGCAAGTTTATAGCTGTTTAGAAAATAGATGCCAGCCTTGTTCTGTGCCAAACACGATATGCTTGTCCTTTCATCCACCATTTTGTTTCAGTGAAGTTATCATGTCAGATATATTTGAGCTTGACTTCTTGTTCCTCGTTCATTTTCATGGTATTAGTTTGAAAGGATAAAGATATTAACTGATCTTCTTTTCGAATGAATAAAATACTTGGTAATTACTATTCATGACGTTTAATTGTCAGATTTGTAGGTAAGCTAGTAGGTCGTTACTATGATTCTGAAGGAAATCCTACAAAATATTTGAAGGGAGTGGAAGCAAAGGCTGCTAGAGGTGCTCAGCTTTTGGAGAAACAGAAGAATGAAGAAGCGAAGCAACCTAGTTGCAATTCGAGGTGGAGTCAGGACGAGGGTGGAGAGGTATGTCTTCCTGACGTGGAATCAAATTATAGGAGCCAAGCAGTCATTGTGCTTCTCTCTCAGTTCTTATAATGTTTTTTTTCCTTATGTTTTCAATATTGTGCTGATATGGAGGCTTATAATGTCCATCTTGTCAGACACAAACCATGAGGAATGGTATTACAAAAATATATGCACCTAAAATAAAAATGGATCAAATACCGACTTCGAAGTCCCTAGTTGTGGTTTGGCAAACATCTGTATTGTTGAATGAAGCTTGATCTTAGATTTCCACTGTTTTGGTTATAGGTTTGGTGTGATGAGGGCGTCCCAAGGTTAGTTCAGAGACCACTAGAAATTGCTTTAACTGGGAAGATGAGCAAGCGATGTGCATGCTTTAAAGAAGATCAACTGGACCAGTCAGGGTTGGAAGTCTACGAAGGATGCGATTTCCTTGCGAAGACTTGCCGAGTTTAAACAGGGGGTTTTGGAACTTTCATGATAGAGATTTTAAGTAATCCTTCCACATCTGATGTCACTATGCTAAGTTGTTGAAAAGGGATGAACAAAGGCAGATGAATAGAGAAGCATTGTAATGTGTTTGGTCTACAATTTTCCTCCTATTGCATTGCATGGATTGTTGTAACTATACATGTATATTGATACTGTTTTTTTCCTTCTCTATATTGTGAATTATATGTTCATGCTAGATCATCACTTTAAACATATTGAGGATTATAATTTCTTGCCAGATCATCACTTTGGACAAATTTTTTAAAGGATTGATCATGGGGAAGAGAGCTACTTCCAGTCTAGCAGCTTTTATTATGCTAATGAGGTTTCTTATACAAGATTTACCAAAGACAAAACTTGTTCTGTAAAAGAATCAATTAACAAATCCACTGTCAAGGTGTCATGGAGGGGTTCGAACTTGGGACGCTAGTCTGCAAGTTAAGGAGAAACACTTATGTGAAATTGGGAAAGCATTGTTTTGTTATTCCCGGCCAATCCATTGTCCATCTTACTAACATTGCTTATGAATTTTCAATTTTGGGTGTCATTTTAACCACTCAAAAACAAAATTCTTGAGTACGTTATTTTAGCCCAAAAGCCTAGTCCCCAGCCCGAACCCAACTATACTTGTGATGACACGAGATTCTTGTGAACCTCCCCAACGCACTTTCCATCTCCGATTCTCATCTTATTAGGAAGCACCTCAGCCGCGTAGTTAGAGGCATCAATGCTAATAGCTATAGGCTCCTTATTGCTAAAATATGAAAACTATGAGAGAATATTTGTTTGTGAAAATTTTCTGTGTATTTTTCTCCTTGTAGGAGATCATATTTATAATACAACGAAACCTGAATGGGCAAGTAAATAATAAATTCCTAAATCTATTTATAATAGAAAATCATGAATTAAAGTAAATCAATTACAATTATAATAGGAATTCTTGGTGTGTAAAGAAAGTAAGTCACTATTCACAAGTCACACCAACACTATTTCAAACATCAATGCTAATAGCTATAGGCTCCTTATTTCAAACAGTCCTATTTTAGTCCATGGACTTCGAAGCTCTGAAGAATGTGAATACTTTTGTTGCAAGCAGAGAGCTTCATTTACAAGTTCCGGTAGTGCTTGACCGAAGGAGCATTGTGGGTTCTTGCAACGGCTTGATATGTCTGAAAGGAAACAATGTCGACTTTTTCTTATGGAACCCGTGTACTAGAGATACCCTGAAGTTACCAGGAATTACTAATTTTCCTTCGAGTCCAATGTTTTATGGATTCGGTTGTGATTCCACCATAGAAGGTTACAAGGTTATACTGGGTGGCTCATCTAGAAATGCTAGTGGTTTGCTTACAACCACAATCATGATCACCTTTACTCTAAAAACAGGCTCGTGGAGGAATGTTCAAGACCTTAACTATGTTAGATTGAATGGGTAGGGGTGCTTGCTAAATGAAGCTCTGCATTGGGTAGAGTTTGTATGGAGACCACGAGAGGCGTCTTGCGATATACTTGGTTCCAGAATCATCTCTTTTGGTTGGTACCATTTCCTGAAATTTCAGATTTTGTTGGTGAGCTAGCAGATCATATTTCTAAATCATGCTTGTTGACAAGGTGTCTCTCTTGGGTCAAGACTAGGACACGTCCTGGACTGTGAGTTTAGGTTGTTTTCTCGAGATAACCTGCACACTTCAAGCAATTATCAGAAGAGGGGAAAACTAGTTAGGTGCCAGTTGAACCCCCTCTGATGGCTAAATTGAGGTGATTTTAGGGTAGAGAGAAGAATGGAGAGTTTCAGGATGAGAGTATTTATTACCCTTGTCTTAATGCATGTGAAGAGTATTTATAGGGGGGGAAGGAGAGATCATATCTCCTCAAATTTTGCCAGAAAGGAGATCTTCAGCCATTCCCCATCTCCTTAAATCTAGGGAGATCTTTCGGTCATTCCCAAAGGTGGGATTGGAGAGCAATTATAGGCACCCGTCACTATGCTGATTATAAGGAATCAAGTAGCAAGACGATACCTTGCTTGGATGTGAAGCGCATTAAATGATCCATTTCCATCACCATACTGGCATTAGGTGCGTGAAGTGACTTGACTTGACAGGGATTTGATTGTGTCAGAATATCAACGCTTCTGTCTCTGGTCATACAACATCTCAGTGGTCAGGTCGGTATATGAGTACTCGACCTCTGGGTCGCACGATATCTCTTGACAGGCTCGACTAGAAGGCCTTTTAACGACACCTGGGGTGGTCAACCTGGTCGGGTCGGTATAGGAACGACCTAGTCTCTCTTGACCACGTGGTGTTCTCTGATGGGCTCAGCTTATGATGATGATATGAACCATTAACAATGCTAAAGGAAAAATCCTACAAAGTATTTTGAAAGGTGTTGAGAAAAGGCTGCAAGAGGTGCACATATTTTGGAGAAACAAAAGAAAATGAAAAAGCTGGCAATTGTAGATGAAGTCATGTATATGCACATGTATTTTTGTGATACATTGTTTCAAGTTTGTGTTAGAGATTTTAATTATATCCTTCCACATCTGATCATCACTTTAGACATATAGAGGATTATAATTTCTTGCCAGATAATCACTTTTGACAACTTTCTTAAAGGCTTGATCATGGGGAAGAGAGGCTACTTCCAGTCTAGCAGCTCTTATCATGCTAGTGAAGTTTCTTATACAAGATTTACCAAAGACAAAACATGTTTTGCAAAAGAACCAATTTAACACATCTAAGCTAATTGTTTAAACATCAAACGCACAACAAATATAATGATTTTTACATTTATGTGAGTCGAACTTTAGACCTCAAGCAGCTTAAAATTAAAGATCGATGGGAGGAGAGGCGACTTAAAATCCTCTTCTTTTCTTTCTTTTCTTAAATATATATATTTTTTCATTTTTAGTACTGTTTAAAAGAATATGTTATTTTTAATAAGATCCTCCAAGTTTCTTAACATTGCATATGGGCATTAATGTCATTACATTAATTTTAAATTTTGGGTGTCAAATCCTAGCCCACCCTCCACACCAAGCCCAGTTTACAGCCCGCCCGGGCCCCACCCCCCTTTCCATTTTGGGTTTTTTTTTTTTTTTTTTTGGGGTTAAAGTCTTCTTATGCTCTTCAGCCGTATCAATCAGCCCTCTTCAGCTCACCTTCTTCCTATTCTTCTTCTGAAATTCTCCCAATTCTCATGGTCCTTCTAATCTCCAAGTCCAGGGCGGCACAGAATCAGGTAAGGTAAGTCTTCAACATTTAAGTCAACTTTCATTTCTTTGTTTTACTTTAATTTAATTTATTTTGTACAAAATTAAAATTGTTTCATGAATCATGAGCATGTTATATGTACACTGACTGCACTTACTCCATTAGTATTAGGGTTTAATTTAAGGTCTAAATTCTTAGTTTAGGGTTTAAATTTTGGCAGAAACTTTTTTTTTTCCTTTTCAATAGAGAAAACAAAATTGGTTTGGGAGGTTAAGCCCACCCTAATTGTAGATGATCCTGGCTGCACCTCTATAGCTTTTAACATGGCGGGCCTTCAGAACCGGCGGCAGGAACTGGACCCCTCTGCTGGGGTGTTTAAACGACCCCTTATTGACTCCGATGACATCATCATTGACATACTGTCAAGGCTTCCAGTCAAATCTTTACTCCGATTTCGGTGTGTATGCAAGTCATGGCATACTTTGATCTCCGATTCTCATCTTGTTAGGAAGCACCTCCGCCGCGCAGTCAGAGGGGTCAATGCTAATAGCAGCAAGCTCCTTATTTCAAACAGTCCTCTGTATTCCATAGACTACGAAGCACTGGAGGATGTCAATAGTTTTGTTGCAATCGAAGAGCTTCATTTACCAGTACCGTTAGTGCTTGACCGAATGAGCATTGTGGGTTCTTGCAACGGCTTGATATGTCTGCACGAAAACAAAGGCGACTTTTTCTTATGGAACCCGTGTACTAGAGATACCCTGAAGTTACCAGGAGTTACTTATTTTCCTTCTAGTCCAATGTTTTATGGATTCGGTTATGATTCCACCATAGAAGATTACAAGGTTATAGTGGGTGGTACATCTAGTAGTGAAAGTGATTTGCTTACAACCACAATCGCACTCTTTACTCTCAAATCGGGTTTGTGGAGGACTGTCCAAGGCCTTAACTATGTTAAATTGAATGGGCAGGGGTGTTTGTTAAACGAAGCTCTGCATTGGGTAGAATTTGAATGGAGGTGGGAGGGCTATTTCAATGTACTTAGTTCAAGAATCATCTCTTTTGATTTAGCAGGGGAGAAATTTCAGGAAATGGTGCCATTATCATCCTATCTTAGCGACCAAAAATATATATCCATCCGTATTGGGACGACTACAAATTGTCTCTTTGTATATATGTTCAATCACAGCAATTTCAGTGATATTGCAATTACAATATGGGTTATGAAGGAATATGGGGTCAAAGAATCTTGGACTAAAATCATAGACATTCCGTCGGAGCTTTTCCGTCCATTTCAAGGAGTATTTTTTCTGAATCTTATATGTATTTTAGAGAGCGGTGAAGTTTGCATGAGTTATTCAAGTGGCCTGGTATCATATAATCCGAAGGAAAATACATTTAGGAGTGTTCTTAGCTCGCCTGTTATTTTGTTGCCTGAAGCAATTATGTACGTAGAGACTTTGGTTTCACCAGTAGTTGAAAGTTGGGCAGACATCTGAGACCAACAGTGTGAGTCTTTCCTTCACTCTTTCTAACCGATACTGTTCAATTTTGTGTGAGGAACAACATAATGTTGAGTCTGAGCAAATAAGATTTGATATGCATATTCTTTTACATGGTGTTTGAATTATAGCAGTTATTCACCAACCTCACAGTGTTGGTGCATCTAACATTTTTTATTTTTTATTGATTTATTTAGAGGATAAGTTAGAGACAAAGTTGTGTTTTGTTACTTATTTAGAGACGAAGTAATGGGAAGCAATTCTAGACACTATAATGTTTGAGTAGGCAGTAATGGAATGCAATGTCTCTGGAAACAAGCACCATAACCATGGGATTTTTAGAACCGTGGCTACCCGGTATCACTAGTCTGTTTACAACAGACTCCAGGTGCCTGTAACTGCAGCAATTTGCCACGTAATAAACGCAATAAGCTTTGTCCTTTTAATGAAGTTATCTCGTCAGATCTATTTGAGCTTGGTTTGCTATTGTTTCTCATTTTAGATTTCAACTGTTTTGTATCAGGTTTTGCGTGATGAGGGCGTCCCAAGGCTAGTTCAGAGACCACTTGAAATTGCTTGGACTGGGAAAATTAGCAAGCTATGCGCACACTTTACTTTAAAGAAATATCAACAGGACCAGCCAACCCGACTTGGAAGTCGATGAAGGAGATGGTTACCTTTGCCAGGACCTGCTGAGTTGGAGCGAGATCTGTTGTGGAAATTCCATGTTAGAGATTTTAAGTATATCCTTTGTAAAGTTGTTGAAGATGATGGACAAGGTTGAAGAGCATTGTAATGTGTTTGGTCTACAATTTCCCTCCTACTTGCATCGCAAGGTTTTTGGAACTGTATGTCGTAAAAAATAAAAAAATTCATCATTGGGCCCAAATTATCCTCGACAACACCAATATAAAATAGCCAAATACGTTACGTGCTATGCTTGTAGACAGTTTTTTAGCTGTAGCGAGCCATTTGAAAGTATAAACTGCTAAACCAGTTGTCAACATAAGCCGCCTTCTCTTCTGCAACAATGGCAAGCCCAAAGAGCTTTTCTTGTTGCATTTGCCGCCTTTTTCCAAGAACATCGACTTTGGAAGCCTCACCACCAAAAACAACCAGTTTGGCCGCCTATGGCCTTAGCAGCCGGCAGCTGAAGCAACTACTCCCCTCAAATTTTGCGGCTGTGCCTCCACCACCGCCTCTCAACAACGATATCCTTGTCGAGATCCTCTCGAGGCTCCCCGCCAAATCTCTACTCAGCCTCCAGTGCGTGTGCAAGTCATGGCTCGCCTTGATCTCCGATTCTCATTTTGTCATGAAGCACCTCATCCACGCAGCGGCCACGTGCAGCATCAACAACAGCCTCACCCTCTTTCTCTCGTCTACTCGTCTCTATTCCATAGTCTCCGTAGGATTGGACAAGGATCATGTTCATGTTGCAAACAGAGAGCTTGATTTGCCGGTGAAGATCCCAGATATTTTGATCACAAGAATTGTGGGATCTTGCAACGGTTTGATTTGCCTGCAAGTCAACTGCACCAACATTGTCATATGGAACCCGTGCACCGGACACTCCAAGCTCTTGCCGAAGCCTTATTCTCTTCTTTCCGGCTTCTTGTTTTTCGGGTTCGGCTACGATTCGACCACGGATGACTACAAGGTCATCCGAGGGTCGAGAACCGCGCTTTCCAATGAGACTGTGGTTGAGGTTTTCTCTCTCAGAACAAATTCATGGTGGATGAGGAGCAATAAAGACCATGGCTATGTTTGCTTGAATGGGAAGGGCTGCTTTTTTAATGGAGCTCTGTATTGGGTAGAGCTTCAATGGGCAGGGGGCCCTCGTCCCATTGGTTCTAGGATTTTGTCTTTTGATTTGGCGGAGGAGAAGTTTCAGGAGACGGTGTCGTTGCCCTACCTTGGCAAGGAAGAAAACTATGTCTTTGCGGGGATTGGGGTTAGTAGAAATTCTCTGTTTGTGTACACCGACCCGGTGGGCTCGGATCTTAGAATATGGGTTATGAAGGAATATCGGGTCAGAGAATCTTGGGCTGAACCCATAGAAATTTATTTGGGTCAGATTTTACAAGAAGAGGTTGATGAATCGTTCTTGAGGCCTTTGTGTATTTTAGAGAGCGGAGAAGTTTTGTTGGATTATAATCGAAATGTCTTGGTATTGTATAATCCGAAAGGAAAGACGTTTCGAAGTATTGCTGTTGGGACTCAGTCGGATGTAGCCATTTACATGGAAACTTTGATTTCTCCGGCAACCGGCAGGGGCTCTGACATGTGAACGAAACCCAATTGTGAGTCATCTTTACTCTTTTTTCCATTATTTGTTACGTGGAGGATTGATAGATTGTTGATTCAACGATTCAGACGGTGTATTTATATGTCGTACCGTAGATGTCTAAGAATTATCCTATGAGTTTTTATTTTTTTCTAATTAGATGTGAATTATGTCCGACCCAATTGATCTTGATTTATTTTTGCTTCCAATTTTATTGGCATTAGGTTGAAAGGAGAATTTGCATATATAATTGGTTTCTTCTTAAATGAATGAAATATTGCTTGGTAACTAATACTAATTAGGGGTGGCAATTTCCTACAAAACTCGAAACCTGCACGGAAAAAACACGACTCAAACCTGCACAATTAATAATTGGGTAATTTTTGGGTCAACTCTTTTTGACCTATTTATTAAACGAGTGGGTTTCGGGTCAACCCGTCAACCCGTTAAAACACATATGTAACCCATTTATTAAACGGGTCGTGTCAACCCGTGTAAGACACGCCAATCCGCGAAAAAATATAGACTTCAAAACACAAATATGGGGTTTCAAACCCCCACAATCCTCATTACTCTCCAACACCTTATCCACCATGCTAGATACAACTTTGTGATTATATACTATGCATTTTGATATTTATAATATTTCTTTTTCTTTCCGTCTATCTTCTCTTCTCTCTTTTTTAATTTCTTTTCCTTCTCTCTTTTCTCCTCTCTTATTTTTTTTTTCTTTCTTTTCCTTCTCTTTAGTTTTCTCTCCTCTCTTTTTTATTTTTATTTCTTTCCTTCTCTTCTCTCTCTCTTTTTTCTTTTCCTTCTCTCTTCTCTCCTCTCTCTATCCTTTTTTTTTCTTCCTTTTCCTTATATTTTCTCTCCTCTCTCTGTTTTTTTTATTTAAATTTTTTCAATTGTGACTTTTGTAACATGCATGTTATTATTTATCAACCCGTTACACGACTCGAAACCCGCAAGATAAAAGACGACCCGAACCCGAGACGACAAATTTATTAAATGGGTTGGGTTTGGGTTGAGCATTCTAGACACGTTTAATATCCCGACACGACATGAACCCAACACGTTTATTAAATGGGTTGAGTTCGGGTTGAGCATTCTTGACACGTTTAATATCCCGACACGACATGAACCCGACACGACCCGACCCATTGCCAGCCCTACTAACCATCACTCTTAATAAATTGTCAGATTTTGTTGGTGAGCTAGCATATCATATTCCCATCATGCTCAAGGAAAAATCCTACAAAATATTTGAAGGGATTTGAGAAAAGGCTGCAGGAGGTGCACAACATTTGGAGAAACAAAATAATGAAAAGGCCAAGCAAATTAGTTGCTCAATCATATGTTTGTGTATTTTTCTCTTCTTATGCTAATATAATATATAAGTATCTTGTACAAGATTTATACATAAAAATAAAAAATAAAATTGAGGTTGAGAAATCCCTCCCGTGTAGTTTAGACTATCGCTTATACTAAAAAAAGAAAGTATAATTCTACTCAAAATGACATGATTATCTTTGGAATTAATTGTTGTTTTCCGCTAACAATAACATTAACAACAATGACAATATTTTTTGTTTTTTTTCCTACAAAAATGACAACGTTACGAAAGTTTATACATAAGTTTATTTAATAAAAAAATTTGGTAATTTTTAAAAGTTTAATTTCGAAACCCCAACCGCCACATTCACCAAAATTTGGCGCCTTTTTTGCCCTCGTCTTTCTCCGTCTCTCAGTCTCCCTCCAGCACAGACACAGAGATCACAACCGCACTAGCAAACGACGTCGTAAACAAGCCAAACAGGATGGTGTTCCTCCACCAGCAAATCCCTTCACGCAAGCGACCGGCCTCCTCTTCTTTCGTCCCTCCTTTGCCTCCCCCAAAATCTTCCAAACCCTACACCACCAATCCGACCCCAAACGACGTCGTCGAGACCCCAGCCATCGACAAAATGGCCTCTATACTCGCCGACGCTGGCTGCACCCTCCTCAACCACTCGGGCCCACCGTGCCTCCCTTCGGACCCACACCAGCTCCGCCGCCACCTCCACCGCACTTTCTCCTCTTCCGAAAATGCCCCTGCTCTTCTCTCTGATTTCCTCTCCGGCCTCTCCACTTACATCAACTCCTCCAAAAACCTCCGCAGGTCAGTAGGTTCCTATACACTCTCTAATTGCTTCTAGTTTTCTATATAATTTTATCGCATTTCCTGTTTGGCTGCCGAGAAAATGTAAGAGAACATTGTTCCTACATTTTCAGGATTCTCACCGCCTCAGGCAGAAGCGAGAGCTTAGTCCGACACCTACTGCTGGTCCCCTCCATCCAATTACAGATTCAGAACATGCTTCTCGAGAAGCTTCCAGAGTATTTCCATGTATATCCGGAACATTCCGGTCCATCGCTGTCTCTTGAAGACGACATCGCTAGGCTTATCATCAATCACTTCCGGTGGCTCGATTTCATTGTCGATCCAAATGCCTTGGCCGAGAAATTGATGCTGGTTCTTTCAATTTGCCCTCTGCATTTGAAGAAAGAGATCATCGGATCGTTGCCGGAGATCATCGGAGATCAGAATAACCAGACTGTGGTTCGATCTCTTGAGAAATTGCTCCAGGAAGACTCGGCTGTTGTTGTGCCTGTGCTTGACTCCTTTTCGAATCTTAATTTGGATCCTCTGTTGCAAGAGCAGGTTTCACATTACGCTTTAATATCTGTTTGGTTGCTGAGAAAAATTGGAATCTCAAATTTGTGCTTATTCTCTAGGACATGGCAAAACAAGAAACTTCACTTAACTAAGCCTACTGCGCATGTTTAGTTTGCGAATTTGAGCTGCACCTGACTCTAAATTTCCCTTATTGAAGGTAATCACCATAGCATTGTCATGCATCAGAACAATCGATGCGGAGCACATGCCTCATCTGCTTAGGTTTTTACTGCTTTCAGCGACACTGTCAAATGCACGGAGAATAATCTCACAGATCCGTCAGCAGTTAAAATTTGTTGGAGTTTCAAATTATCGTACATCAGAAAAGAGTAAACTCAAAGGGAAGTCGCGCGAGGACAACACAGAGGCTTCAATTCTTGATGCGTTGAGATCAAGTCTTCGATTTAAGAATGTATGTCTTCAGCCATTTGTTTCTTGAAACATTTGTACTTCTCTCAAATTTCGAATTTCGCTTTAAATTATTAATTTGCTTCTTTATGTGCTATGTAGATACTATGTCAGGAGATTTTGAAAGAGTTAAACAGTCTTGAGAAACCTCAGGATCACAAAGTCATTGATATATGGCTACTTATGCTGATATACATGAATGGTGAAACCCTGCAAAGGAGCATTGAAAAGGTATTCAAGAAGAAAATTATTGAAGATTGCATTCAGGAAGCTATGTTTGATCAATGCATTCATGGACACAAGGAGCTGGTACAGGTATCTTTGACCATGATCTGATATCATGGAATCCAGTCTTATTTCGAAATTAAGTGATGTATTTCCGTAGCATTATTTTAACCTTCTTTTTGATTTGTTGTTAGGATTACTTTCTATCTTTCATTTCTTTGTCTGAGTACCTGTTGGCTTGCAAAGAGCCAAAAGCCCGGGAGTTTGGCATCCATATGTATGTTTGTCTCTTTGAGGAGTTTGCTGATACTTATTCAAGACAGGAAGTAAGTGGCCTATATGTTCTTTGTTGGTTATTTGATAATTAGAAAAAGGATGTACTGTGGGACTACTAGCTGTGGCTTTTGTTTAGGTTCTTGGTTCGCTGGTTACCCATGTGGGCTCAAGTGTGGGTTTTGAAGTCAGTTCTGCTTTAGAGACAATGGCTTTGCTGGCCTCCAAATATTCACAGCAATTAATTCCTCTTTCTTCTCATATTAATGGTATGATATTAATCTATTCTTCATATTGATTTGTCTGGAGTAATGATTTTCCAAGAAATGCATGCTTAGTTATTTGTTCCATAAATTCAGGTATCCTTGATTACTTAGAGGGATTTAGCGTTGAAAATTTGCACAAGGTAGGATGCTAAATTTCGTTATTTCTCTTGGCACCAAAGTGTTAAATCACAATCTCACTGGTTTTTACATGGTGCAGGTCTACGAGATTTTTGGCCATCTGGCACTTTTGGCTCGGTCTAGTGCAGATTCATATGGTTCTTCCTTTGCAAATGAACTTTTGATGATAGTACGGAAGCAGGTGCCAATACTTTATTTCTTTTCACTAGGAGCACTTAAATGTAAAATTTTTGATCGAATACATTGAACCATGCAATTTTAATATGGTAACTTTTACAGTTTCTGGTAACACAGATTGATCTATTTCATCCTTATGTTTCGCAGGTCAGTCATCCAGAGCTGAATTACAAGAAGATGGGCCTTGTCGGAACTCTGAAGATAGTTTCCTGTCTAGGAGATGCAACTGATGTTACCTGTACATCCTCATCTCAAGTATGACCCAGCAGTCTATCAGTTTTACTCTTCCATAGTTAGGTGCACACGATGGTAGTATGATGAATTTGTTACTGGCCTTGTCTATGATAGTAATATTTAATAAATTTCTTTTGATAATTAGAGGAAACATAGACAATATAGAGACTTGCAAATTATATTTTGATGTGGCTGGCAGATTTTACTTATGTTATTTTGTGTCGTCCATAAAATCAACTTCAATTTTAGGTTTTATTTTTCAGTTTCCAAACTCTTTTTTGAGGGATGCATTCACCATTCTTGAGCATCATTCTACAGAAATCAAATTGTGATGAGGCTTTGGAACTCTTGAAAATAGCTTTGGACTCTTGCAAACAGTTGCCCTTACCTTTGATCATGTTTTATGACGAACTGACTGAAATGATGGATTATAAAACACTTCATCCAACAGTTATGGAATGGTCAGTCGATTTTAATTTGCTAAGGTTACAAGTGGTTGTTTTTTATTTGGGAAAGACTAATCTGCATATTGCAGGATTGGGAAACATGTCGGAGAGTTTGAACCTCTGTTTCTGTCTGATCTTGATGGTGGGAATTTGGCTGTTAAGGACTCGTACTGTGGTTTAGAAGGTGATTTGTGGGCTGCAATACTCCTTTCTTTTTTTCTTGTCCTGATGATAACTGAGATTGTGTTGTATAAGCAATTAATTGAGTATGGATTAAATTTTATGTTCTTTTTCCCTTTGTAGGGGAGATGTGGATGAACTTGGATGGTGATATATCACCAATATGTCTAAACATTTTGCCATTAGCTTCCTCTTCATCACAGTAATGTGTTGGCCATACAGTATTTTATTCTTGTATAGAAGTTTTTTTTTATCCCTTGATGTCTATGATGCTGAAGTTGGAATGTGTGTGCAGGTCTGCTTCTTCTTTACAAGTGCTTCCTGCTAACTTCCTTTTATTATCTGCAGTAAGTGTATAAAAATAGAAATTTTATTATATTTCATATATATAGAGTTCTATGGTGTTTCTAACTGATCAAATTATGAATTTTGCGATAAAATTTTGAAATTTCTTGTCAATTCTCAGATTGAAAGGCTGACGAATCAAGGATCCCTTGGTGGAATTGATGCACTACTTGGCTGCCCTTTGCACCTGCCTTCTTCTAAGGTCAGGGCACTAAAATGCTTTTGCCAACAGCATCCTAGCAAGACTTTGGCTTATAATTTAAAGTTGAAGCTGAAAATCCACATTTGAAATTTGGGAGAAAAGTATCCTTGATGAAGTCACACAGTTGTTTGAGAATTAAAATAATATTTTTAGTTGATCTAGACTCTCTAATTTTTGTAGTCTGTCAGTTTTGGTGGCATTGACCTGGGCTGAAATGTGTTTGACTTGTGCATTACCAGTATTTCTTTGGATCTGAGTGGAAGTCTCTGACAGGGAAGCAGAAACAGATTTTGTGTGCCTCCCTATATTATGCTGCCAATTGGATACGGGAGCTAGTAAGTGAAGAAGCTTAAAATATATTGCCTTCATTTTGAAGTGGTTCTTTATACGTGAATTGTGGTTTCGTACTAATTTTATGCAATGTGCAGCTCAATGCCTTCTGTACACAAGTTACTGGAATATTTGAATTTACAAGCCAGGCTACAAAGGAGGATATAATTTCCAAGCTATTGAAGCGTTTGAGGAACCTTCTGTACGTTATTTGCGTTCTTAATCCATTTACAACATATACAAAATTTGTAAATCAGCTTTCTGGTGTTGTAAATCCTTTGTTTTTAAAGTTTTAAAATTAGCATGATTACAAATACTTGGATAGTTTAAGGAAAATATGAGGGGGCACTGAATCCTACAGGCATCATGAGATTTCTTAGGGGGTTACCTTTTTTGTCCTAACAGAGGCCAGCCTTATACCCTAAAGCTTAGCTGATTGGCTGGATTCTGGGAAAGTGTTTTAGTGGTCAGAAACAATTGATTATACCCGCCTTAAATGTTGTATTCAGATTAGCATATTTATTATGACCTTTTGATCCTTGAGTACTGATGGGGACAATATAACAATGCAGATTTTTGGAAAGCTTGTTAAACAATTGCATTGGGAGGTACTCTCTATCTCTTCCTGAACTTCATCCTTATGTGGATGTCTACCGTTCTTCTGCATTAAACCAACCTCACCGTATGGGGCACATTGAAAAGAAACTTGACCATAAGAAAAAACATGAGGAAACCTCTCCAAGTGGCACAAGGACAAATAAAAAGACCTCAAAGGAAACAACATCAGATACCAACCGGAATCTCCGGCAGCCTACATTATTGGATGTCTTAGAGAAAGCGGGAGTTCTACCAGGCCAAGATGTGCCAAATGAGGATTCTTCTGGTTTATCTACAAAGGGAAGGTCATATGAGTCATCAGAGAAAAATTCCCATGACTCTGACGAGGCGCCCTCTATAGAAATTTCTGCTGTTGGCAAGGCTATCGAAGCTCAGAGGATTAATTTCAGACCCCTCCTAGTTCATTGTTATGCCATTTTGACATTTTCAAAGGTAGATTTACTCTTTATGGGGGTTAGCCTGAGTACGTGTTCTTATCAGATTGATTGAGATTAATTTATGAATGAATCCACATGTTTAGGCTACTGAATTATGGAATAAACTTGCATTTATTAAGATCAATGTTCGATATTTGTGAAGGTGATTTACAGAGCTCAATGCACTGGTCTGATGACCGAACAGAAATCATAAATCTGTACTTGTTTTCTGAATGTGGCCACTCTTAGTTCAAAGACTTCTTTTTGATGAGATTTTGGCAAGAGGCTGTCAGCTTGCATCTTATATTGATTTGAAGTCTGCACTCTGGGTTAGTAGGGCTAATGAATTAGTCATAAACATAGGGGTGGTTATAATCCAAAGTTATTTCAAGTTGCAGAATGAATATGTTTACTAGTTTGACAGAAAAGTATTAACCAAAGTTGTCTAATTTTGGAGTAATTCGTCTTGCTATATGTTGACTCAAATGAGAGTCTGTTAGGCATGAACACATACCAACAGTGTGCCAAGCATTTCTTGATCTTGTTTACAAGATGTGCAGTGTCTATAGAATTTTGGATAGAAGAATTATGGATTTTTTACTATGTCTTTTGAAATGCAGAGTGAAGCCTCCTGTTGTATCGATGCTGCTGCTGAGGTACCCAGCTTTCAAGACTTAGTCATCTTTTAATTTATATCATAAACGAAGTTATAAACTTGCAAAACTTATGTCTTTTTTGTGGGTGTTAGTTACCCCTATATCTGTACCTTCTGCGTGATCTTCACTACAAGCTGGATTTCTTCACTCCTGGAAAACAATTGTGGGGTAGATGCTTGAGTGCTCCAGTTGGGTTCACCAGGTTGACGGTAGATGGATTTTTGAGCAACCACTCTTTCCAAGTATTAAGAGGCATTTTGATAGTGCAGTTTTGTTACGTAAGGAAGGTAAGATAGTAAAGTCCAATTTTGGTGGGTAAACGCTAGAGGAATGCCACTATATTCTTTTAATCTTACAACAATCACTCTGCAGGGGATGAAGCTTGTGAAGAACATTGGAATATTCAATCTACTTTTGCCAGAAATCCAAATATTCCCAATCTTGTACTTTCAAAATCTGCAGTTTCTACTTCAGTATTCAAAGAAGTGCTTCATTGCTTCAGTGTGGTGAACGTCAACTACCTTTACTTATTTGCTCCATGAAATAGCATCCTCTGTCTGTCTGTCTGTCTGTCTGTCTCTCTCTCTCTCTCTCTCTCTCTCTCTCTCTCTCTCTCTGTGCATGTGTGTGTGTGATCTCCCAGCCTAGCTGATATCCTATCTAAATTATTATCCATACACAACTTTTAATTTTGAAAAGAAAGTTTACTAAATCTTCTTATTTGATGTTTAAGTACAGATATTAAACCTTGCTGGTATTCAGACAGACAAGTCAGCTCTCTCATGTCTGCTAGAAGCATTCCAGCCTACAGAGATTCCAGATAGCTTAATGGCAGACATACAACCTAAGCTTTCTCCTGGGTCTACAGAGTATTTATATTTGGGTGCTTATGCATTTTTTGAAGGTGTCTTGGACATAGGTACATAAATATATCCTGTTTCCTGATGGTGTTCTAGGGTGCTCATTGGTTGTCACTCTTTTAATTAACCACTTTAGTAACTGCATGGTCCCTGCAGCATGCTCTTTCTCCTTTATGCTGGCTTCAGAATCACTTTTTACTCTAGAATCGGTTGTAACCTCAATCCAGAAATTCATCAGTAAGTTGGAGGGAAATAGTAAAAACGTGCACTCAGAATTTATCCGGGAAGCTCTTCCAACTTTGCGCAGCAAACTTGGTATTTCTGCTCAGAATATTTTAAGGCATAGTTGGGATAATGAAAATCTTGAGAATGGTTGGAAGAGAAAAGTGAGCGATCTATGTTTCTAGCTCTTATTTTTTGCATGAATTTTCAAAATGATTTGATGCATGTTGTGATACTTATGCATGCATGTATCACTTTTGAATTTTATAATGTTTTTAGGGAGAAACAGTACAGAGAATATTGCGCATCTACCTGGACAGTAGCAACTCAACTTCTGACCTGCTGGATAAGCTAGCCTGCTCTATTTTGCCTCAGGTGCCTGAATTTTATTTTTGTTATGCAGCCTCGGTTTCTTTAGAGTTTTGGTAGATGATATTTTTCCCCCTTTTTTTTCTAGCTTTTGTGGATTTGGGAGCTTTTCTTTGAAAGTCAGTTTTGGTTGTATAAATATAACAGAATCACACTGTATGATAGCCAGTTTTGGGTCAATTTCGTTAATTAGTGGACAGCTTGTCCACCATGAATTTACCTTTTCTTATGTGAAATTAAGTTTTAGAATTTAACGGATTTTCTTTGATTATCAATTGTCATCTCAATACCAAGAAGTGAAATCAGAAACTTGTTCCCTCACCCAGATCACCAATGGAGTACCCTATATTAGGGTCTTGAGAATGGATTTGAGAAATCCCTATTAAAAATCTGGGCCTTAATATTATTTCAAACCAGTCCTTAATATATGTCAACTTTCTATTTCTGTATTAGGCTTTATGCGAACAAATTGGAGAAGATGATCATCATGGTTTCCCATCTCTAAGTTCTGGAACATTTGTTGTGTGGTACAAGATACTGGTAAGACTTGTGTTTCCTTTCATTATGTTTAATGATACTCTCTTGTCAGGGTTGTTTACACAAGGTGGTCTTATGTGCAGCATGAAGAGAATCTTTCTGTTCTTAACAAATTGGTGAGCTGTAGATTCATTTTTGCAACTTGTACAAACACCATCAATGTTCTAGTGGAAATCCATTTGGTCAAGGAATGACTCGTGTTTATTCCTCTCTTAGGTCAAGGAAGCTGTTCTACTAAAGAAAACCAGTACTCGTGCTCAACCTGAAACTATTGAAAAACTTCTAAGCAAGCTACAACAGTCTGTAAATGTGGTTGTGTCATTAGTTACCCTTTGTAAAACTTGTGCCAAGGTAAATAAACAGTACTCTGTGGAGTTCTCTCAACTAAATTTCTTTCTTGTTATGAATTTTCTCATTTTGTTTTAGGGCTGTCTTTATAATGTTCAAATGCCATCTGCCCAAGATACTGTTGACATGTCAATATCGTGGTTCAGGTGACTCTGCATGCCATGGCTGTTGGTTATGGAGGGAAGTTTGTTGATTCCTTCCTGAAAGGTATATTCGTGATAGTCATAATTATGATCTAAATGGCAAATGTCTGAGGCACTGATGTCATAATGTTTTCCAGTTTTTGACTTCTTAGAGTCCCACTTTCAAGTTCACAATGAGCATATAATCCACTTGGTAAGATTTGTTGAAGCAAATACATTCATCCTAAAGATTGGAGTCGAGTTTTATCCTCAATTTATCAAGAAGCAAATCTTATCCTTTTGTAATGAATTAGGTTTTAGAGCTTCAAAAGGCCACAAGAACAATACAGGCCCTATGTTCTGAAGCAAAGGTAAGTCTTAAATTTCAATTTATATTTAGCTTTGTACTTTTTGGACTAAATGATCTTCACCCTTTGAGTGTCATTATCATATGATAACTTTTTATTTATTTATTTATTGTGGAAGGGCTTGAGACAAACAAGTATAACCAGAAAAATTCCTGCTACAAAGAGATCTATGGAACGCTTTTTATTCTGTGTGAAAGCTCTTCTCCATACAACATCAAATGGTTCTTCCTTCTGGATGGGTATGTATGGATTGTTGTTTTCTTGTTCGAGGGTACCTGAACATGTCCTTCAACATTGAACTATGTTATATTATTCTATTAACCTGTAGCATCATTATTTGTGCAGGTCAGAAATATCCTAGATAATGTTAATGTATCACATCATCATCGCTAGTATTCAATTTCTTCCCACGCTAAATGCATTTTTTTAATCTCCATCCAAATTCCATCTTGATTTATTTTCTGAATATTCCCTGAATTCTGTATTATTTGTGCTGACAGAGAATGAATAAGAAGAGGATAGAGAATGAATTACCAACTAACTTGAATTTGATTATTCCTCAGTTGATGTCTTACTTAACCTTAGAATTAAAATGATCTCAAACAAAACTAAATTGAACCTCACAACCAATTGCGCTCGTTTACATGGATACTTTGTTGTTGCCTTTGAGCTTTGCCGAAGGTCTTTTTTTCTGTTAGATGCTTGCTGATCATGTGATACATCTTTAATTCTTTCACGTATACAGTATATCACTTTCCCTTAAACCTTCAAATTTCCCTTTTCTATGTGGCGTGTTTATGCTTAGATCTCATCACATGTTAATCATTCAGGTTGTATCATTATCCAAGTTGATGTTTCTTATTTATCATTCATTGCTGCTCTAACAGGCAACCTGAAGCATAAAGACTTGAAAGGTCAGGTGGTGAGTTCCCAAGTGTATGTGGATTCTGAAGATGACCACGTTGATGAAGAGCCAGCCGAAGTCGCTGATGAAGAGCCAGCCGAAGCTGCTGATGAGGAGCCAGCCGAAGCTGGTGGTGAAGAGCCAGCCGAAGCTTCTGGTGAAGAGCCAGCCGAAGCTTCTGATGAAGAGCAAGCCGAAGCTGCTGATGATTATCCACCTGTTAGTGTTGCTAGTGAAGAGGACAGAGATACAGAATGAGAAATGCACTTGGGAACTTTACGCGTATTGACTGGAGCCAACCTTGTGTGAGTCTTAATAATTTGAGTAGTCTGGCATGCTGCAATGAAGTAAAACATGCAATTCTATTGAGTGTATTTCATTTTGCTCTCTGCATCTAGTATGGTAAAATTTTGATGTGTGCTATATCGCTATATCATCAAGAACTCAAGATAAGATAACAACCTTTTGCCTCTCTCTCTCTCCCCCCTTTTGAATTACAATTATAACTTTATAATTGCATGTTGAACATAGGAATAACTGTATCATCAGTTCAATAGTAATTAGCTTAGATTTCATACTTGCTTATTGATGAATTCTATAATCTAATTTTTGCAGGACCTCAAAGAATTTTCCTGGGTTCTGGTGAAGACAGGTACATATGATGAGTGGGCAAATACATGATCAACTCGTAGTTCCGAATTAACAGCAGTAGCTTTTGGATATGCAGAATAGTCATAGCAGGAAATGACTGTACAGTTCCTAGCTTTTCCTGCACTGTCGAGAGCATCCATTTACAGCAATGCTTATGGCAGGTGTAGATGTTTAGGTTGATCCTGGTCTGTCATGAATCTCTCTTTTTTAAGGTAAGGGATATTACAATTCAGGATTAGCTCTTAAAATAAATAATTTTATAATCAGGTTGTCCATAATGAGTTAGGTGCACTATTATTACTCACAACCCTTTCATTTTGAATTTTTTTTTCCAATCATTTTTCTGCAATTCATTAGGTAGAATCCGACAAGATAAAATTGTGAATATACCCGTTTGGTAATGTTTTCTGAAACCGTTTTCATAAAACATTTTCATAAAATGAAAATGAGAAAACAAATTTGTATTTTCAAGATTTGAGAATGCTTTCATTAGGTCAACTGGAAAACAATTTATGAGAACAAAAACAGTGAAAATGTGTCTGGTAAATAATGTGAAAATAATTTAAATTAAATTGTATATTAGAGTTATTAATAAACCAATTTTTTTTCAATAAAAAAAACATTTAATTAGTTGCTGAATGCGTATCTAGTGAAAAATGGAAACGAAAAACGAAAATGGGCTCTTAAAAATGTAAACGAAGGGGCCCTTCCGAGCTCTCTTTTTGTTTTTGTTGTTTTTGATAACATGGAGAGCTCTCCCTCGACAAAAAAAAAAAGGGTAGAGCTCTCCGTTCTTCAATTACTATAATCTACATTTGATACCATGCAAAACTAAGTATAGACTCAGCGGCTTTTCAGGGATTAGGATCGACAAGCTCGTCTGTGACCTGTAAGAAAATTACCATAAACCTTAATCATCAAATAGTCAGTGAAACTAAGTCTAGCTGCGAATCCTATGATAATGATATGAATTTATAAAGCACGATCGAGTCTTAGTTTGAATTATCTTCTCGATTAGAGGAGTCATGAATCAATAGGCAGTAGTGGGAAGCCCCCCTAACCTGGTTTGAAGGTACATTGTCTGGGAGCTTTACAGTTGTGTAGGCAGCAGCTCCAGCTAAGGCACCAAGTGTGGGTGCAACCAAGTAGATCCACAATCCCCTATAGTTTCCAGCAGCAACAGCCGGACCCAAAGTCCGGATAGGATTCATTGAACCCCCAGTTGTTGGCCTGCCATATAAATATATAATTTTATTTACATAAAACTAAGTTTAAATAATGTAAATTTTATTTTCTATGCATGCTATCTCTGCAGCAGAATTTAAAAAAAAAAGAGAGAGAAGAAAACAAGAATAAAGGCTGCTCACCCTGCCACAAGGATGTTGACCAAAACTGTAGCACCAATTGCCACACTTGCCATCTCCCCTACCTGTATCGAGACACATGCATCAAACCCTAATCTTGTGAACACTGAATTAAGAAAATTAGGAATATATAAACACATATATATATACACACACACATATTTACCGCACGGGTATCAGTGGCAACGGCAATGATAGTAAACATGAGAATGAAAGTGACGATGAACTCGAGTGCAAAAGCTTGGCCATGGTTCACAGAAGGAACTGTAACTCCACCAGACATGAAGGGATGGAAGACACCCTTGAGAGCAAAACTTGCAGAAATAGAAGCCAAAACCTGCGCTGTTATGTAGAGGGGAACTTGGGACCACGGGAAGTGTCGAAACGCTGCGAAGGCAATGGTGACCGATGGGTTTAAGTGTGCTCCGGAGATGTGGCCCGTGGACAAAATTACGCCCATCACTGCTAGGCCTGAACATGCCGCATTGCCTAGCAGTGTCTCTGCATTGTGGTACTTCTGGTTCACAATAGGTCCCGCTGTTGCTGAAAACACCAAGATGAAGGTCCCCACAAACTCCGCTCCGAGCTGTAAACGATGCTTGCTATTAGTGATTAATTAGCAATAATTAATTAGAGAAAAAACTAATTTGGTGTGTATAGAGATATGTACCTTCTGGAGAAGAGTGACAATGGGAGCATGGCAGCTCAACAAGCTTTTGGTTCCTCCTGACATTAAGGAAGAAGAATGAAGGAAGAGAAGTAGAAATACCAGTTGGGTTGTTTATATCAAGGTTTAAAAAGGTGAGGCATTGAGGTGAGGCGTTTCATGTCTCACAAAGCTAGGCGCTAAGCCTTCCAAGTATTGAATTATTTATAATAAAAATAATCAATGTTGAAACTGTTTTTTATGTAGATTGGCTTGATAAAGAAGGAATAAGCTGGGGAAGGTTTGTAGAATTATGCATATATATATATATATAGGCGACAGTGGGTAACGATTTGGTTTTAATAAAATTGGTCAAGCCAGCAACATTTCAGTTCTAACTGGTTGGGCTGTAAGGTTGGTTTTTGTTTTTTTTGTTTTTTGGTTTTTCACCGTAGGTAAAGGTTTGGTTTTAAAAGGGTAGATTGGGCAAGGGAGGGCAATTTTGTTTCACCAAAGCGGCAGAGTCTGGCTCTTAGAAAACAACTTTAGTGAAACACCGCGTTTCATTAAACACAACTGAAGGACGACATCGTTAGTTATAACCTTTGTAAATGTGGTTGTATCATTAGTTAACCTTAATAATGGTTTGTACAAACAAAACACTAATTACTTACCTCGTGAAGCCATGACAACGAACAACCGTAATGTCGCCGGTCTTCTCAAAAATCAAGGATCTTCTTCTTGTTGCGCCTCCTTTACAGAATAGACTAGATGGAGTAATCGTCTTGTTTGTGCTTTTTGTTATGTGAAGCTACAAGAAGGGACCTTGTATTTATATAGGCTCAAATACCATAAGTTACTTCACCATCAAGGAACCATTGATCCACAAAACCCTAGCACATAAAATAATTTATCAGGCCACCGTAATATCCTAATTGGATTAATTACTAATCTGATTAAGATCCCGTATCTTTTATTTAACTGGGAGACCAAATCTAGATATGGGTATTAAACAGGAAATAACTTCCAACATACTAAACGTATCGAGTGTCTCATCAATTCAATCCTAATTCGTACTTGTTTATTGATGAATTCTATAATCTAATTTTTGCAGGACCTCTAAGAATTGTCATGGTTTCTGGTGACGTGGAAGCCAGGAACAGATGATGAGTGGGCAACACATGTTGATCAACTTGTAATTCCGAAATAACAGCAGCAGCTTTTGGGTATGCACGATAGTCATAGCAGGAAGGAAACGACCGTACAGTTCCTAGCTTCTCCTGCACCGTCGTCGAGAGCATCTACTTGACAGCAATACTTATGGCAGGTGTAGATGACAGTTTAGCACGTGAATCTCTTTTTTAAGGCAAGGATATTACAATTCCGGATTAACTCTTACAATAAATAAATTTATCATCAGGTTGTCCATGGTGGGTTTTTTTTAGGTAGGTCACCCCTTTCATTTATATATATATATA